CAGAATAAGCCAGACATGGTGACAAAAGTCTGTAATTCCAGCACTGGGGACATGTAGGCAGAAATAAAGGAAATTCAAGGTCATCCTTGACTACCTAGGGAGTTTGAGGTCAGCCTAAGCTACATACGGAGTTTAAAGCCAGCCTGGGCTAAGAACTGTTTCACCAGAAGAAAAAGGGCATTCCAATTGAAAGGTCACAACAGCTAGGGTCATTTGAAGGGAAGGAGAGAGGCCAGAACCTGAATAATCAGGAGGATCTGAGTGTATATAAGTTCCCACCGAAAAGGCTAGAACTGAGTAGTCATTACATTTACTAACTACATGGTCCCTGACAACCTCAACAAGAGATAGGGAAAATGGTGGTGGGTTCAATCCCAGACACTCCCGGAAGCTGAATTTGAAGTGTGGAGAATTGGAAAGAGTGTGTGCTGTGGAAGAAGGCACCATCATCACCAACTCTGTGACAAGGGGGTGGCTTAAATGCACCAACGTGAGCAAGGGATGACCCAACCAGTTGAAGAGAGGAAGAAGCTAATGGATGCTGGGTTCTGCAGGCAATATGATAGCCCTGAAACTCATACCCTATCTTCAGAATCTGAGTTCACCTCCACTTTCTGTTGCTGAGAGATACAAAGCCAGCCTCTGAAGGAAAGGCTTAGAGAGCCAAAGCACCAGGTCTCCCTAATGGACTGGCAACATCCCACACTTCCTACTTCACTGCGTGATTTCCAGATCCATGAGAGATGTTCTTGCCCCATGGGTGTGGCATCCCATGGCACACAGGCTAGGGATATGCAAACCACAAAAGATCTGAGTCAACACCCCAGGGTCTTGATTTCGGAAAGTACTAGCTGGTTCTTACGGTCCTCTACTTCAGCTTTCCACACTGTAAGATGGCGTCAGTGACGCTGATCGTGGAGGGTACTGAGACGATAAAGTCACATTCCCAGGAAAGAGTAGCCTGGAAATGACAGCATGTCCATCTCCGATCATCATCACTCTTTCAGGACAAGTCAGAAGATCTGGGTGAAGATGACCACTCCCCATCCCTGTGCCTCAGACCCAGGATCTTCCTTCCACAGGTCTCCCCCAGCCTGGTCCTCTCTTGACCCTTTACCTAGCCTGAGACAGCTTCCGAGTCATGTTTCTCAAATCTATTGCCTATGTCCTTGACGTTGACCAGAGACTCAGAAACACAGACCACCTTTGCGCTGAGCCAACCCTCTTCTCTCAGGATCATGGCAGCTGTTGGACACCTTTTCTTCCTGAAGCTTCATTCTGGCTGCCATCAAAGAGTAACTGACAAGGATTCTTGTTACCTTCCCTCTGGCAGATCTGACAATTAAAATAATGTTCTTGATACACTGCCCCGGCCCAAAGACTTCCTTGAGCGTCTCTCAGCAGTGTTAGTGTTGTTTTCTGTCTTAATCGTCCATCTTATCAATAGAGCTCTGAATTTCATGACTGCCCCCAGGATGTGAAGTGACCTGGTCCTAGGTATAGGTGGGCATGTAACTTTGGACCCCTGACCTCCAAATGACCCCTATCCCTTCCACACACATCCTTATACACAGAACAGCCCCCTGGACTGGACCCCATCACTCTAGGTATTGTCGTTCTTGCTCCACTGTGAGCCCAGGGTACAGGCTTTTTCCTGTGTCAGCATCCTACACAATTGGCTCATGGCAGCCAATGAGTTTGGCAAACTTCTAACACCCATTTCTACAGACACCCCACAATTTTAGTGGAGCCAGAACTCTTGATAGGGTGAGACACAATGCTTCCCTGGCTCTCTGCGCAAGATTCTACAGCATTCCTCGAAAACAAACCAGAAGCAGCTCAGGGAACTGGCTCCTCCAGAGGCAAGCCATTCACTGTCCCATGGCTACCCTCCGGGTGACTCTTGATACCGCGCCTGGGCTGCACTCAGCTGAGAAGACATCCTCACCTCAAGGCTAAGCTCCAAACCTTTGAAGCATCCATTTGGGTCAGCTTTGTGGACATAGCCCTCTCCTCTGGCTCCCTAAGCCCCACCCTTTCCCTGGAAGAGTTCAGAAAAGGTGGAGGGTGGCTTATGAGTCTTTGGGATCTATGCATTGCCCTACTGCCATGTGGTCAGATGCCCCTGCCCTTTAGAAGTTGTCACCAGTTCACTCTGATGTTCCACTTTTGCCAAGCCATGGACTTAACGTGGGATCCCACACATCTTCCATGGGAGGAAAGAACCACTGCTGTTGTCTGAGGGTTTACACACTTCTAGGACAGACACACTGAAATGTACCCCCACTGTGGTGACCTGAAGTGGTGGAGCCTCTGGGAGCCCAGTCTCCAGAGCAAGAACCCTCTTATGAAAGAGGTGGCAAGTTTCTCCCTTCTACCCAGGGATGATGCCACAAAGTGCAGCAGTGAGGGAGAGCTGGGTCCAGCTAGATGCCAAGTCTCTGGTGCCTTGCTCCTGGATTTCCCACCACCCGGAACTGAGCGCGATGAATCCACTGCTTAAAAATGACCCAAACTAAAGTATTTTCCTATAGGGTCCCAGAAAGAAGACCTGCTCATTATGTCTTCCTCTTCCAACAGGGGAAATCTAATGGACTGTGTGATCACGTGCTTCTACATCCCTAGAGGACTCCCTGGAAGTCATCCTAGGCCTTTTATCAGTTCAGAGTATGCACATACTGGCCACAAGCCACAAGCAAAAGCCACAATTCGTATTTCAATCTGCTGGTCCCTCGTAGTATTTACCTTAAAAGAAAAAAAAAAGACTGAACACAAATTAGCACCTTGGGTTGACTGGGACCACCAGTTTCATCATTTGAGCGTTATCAGTTGTGAGTGTGAGTGTGTGACACGAGCATGTTCAGCGCTTGCTTTCAGATCAGGGACATGGTGATCATTGGCTGGTCTTCTCCCGTAACCCCAAACAGCCAAGGAAGTGCTCCAGGCAGCATGCATGTCCGTACTGTTACACAGAGGCGATGATAGAGAACGCCGGGCTACGTTCCTGAAAACGTGTTTCCCTGAAGAATAAGGGGAAATGTGTATCTGGGATGTGAACACTGGAGCATCATCAAGTCTGTGAGCTAGTCAAACATGGGGGCCTGGGCTGAGCTTGGCTCTGGCATCTCACGGGCTGTTGCAGTTGTTCAGCTCAGCCTCAGCTGCCCTTTTGACAACTTGGTATTCCCATCTTCTCTCTCCTCATCTCATCCTTTTAGGAACCAGCCATCCAATGGCAGGGAGGTCCAGAACAGCCACACCTCTCACCTGAATCAGAGCTGGCTGTATTCCCTCTGCTCAACCCTGAGGCCCTAGGAAACCCCTCAAAAATGGCAATTCACCTTAGAGCACAGCTGGAGTGGGTGAGCGTGAGGCTGCCCATGGCTCTGTGGTTGGAGGGACTGAGAGCAGCCACGGCCACTTTCATGCCGTCAAAAGCCACGCCCACGTACTTGCTCATCCCTTTTCGGGGGCACGTGGACATACAGGTACATCTTTTACTTTTAAGACATACTTTCTAGTTAGGCAGCTGATGGCCAGATCCCATGTTTATTACCTAGTGGGAGGGTCAAAGGCCCTAGGCCCAGAGACCAGCCATGGCTGCAGCACCCAGATCCCGTCCCCACACTCTACTGTGACTCCCACTGCACCAAGGGATTATCTAATTTTGCTGCAAATATTAAAACATAGTGTTCATGCAGTAGAAGAGGTATGTAGCAAAAAAAAAAAAAAAAAAAAAAAAAAGACAAAAAGGCTTTTCACTAAAAACAAAGCGAAAAAGGCGTATCCTGGAATTCACAAAAGACTGGGGGGGCTGTCCATTTGGCATCTTTTTAGGTGAATCATCCCGTGGCTTGTTGTAAAACTGTACAAATAAAGAATAGTAACATTTGGGCTTACGTCCAGCCAATAAAAAAAAATCACCATAGGTCAAGACAGGCTGTCAAATGATGGAAGCCACCTTCTAAAGGAGGGGCAAATACCTTACAACTCCAAGATGTTTTTATTTATTTCAAATTCCAATAGAGTGAATATGTTTTATCTAAATATCTTTTATCACACAGCTGTAACATTGAATTTTTTCTCAGAAATAGTTAAATACATCAATCTAGTTACAGATTCTAATATAAAGAGTACAAAATATAGCATTATAAATTGTATTTTTAAAAAGAAATACAAACTCTATGGTCTTCTGCATCGTCCCACCTCAGAATAATTAGTGAAATTGGTGAAGAAGGAACCTTTGCTTGGTGGTCACTTCATGCAGGCATGTCCCGGAGGCTCTGCGGTTTGCAGCATCACCCGTGGTGGGGGAGGCCTTGTCTGCAGGGCCTTTTTCTTTGTGTTGTTTTTTTCCTCAGCAAATAAAAGTTACTATCAGAAGTTGCTGGATTTGTAAGCATTAAAAACCAATCACGTTCTGCAGGTGGTGGTGGCAGGGAGGGGTCTTGTCTTACAGAGGCTGGTCAAGAGCTCCTCACAAGGGCAGGGGTGCTTCTTCCTAGAGAACTGTACCAACTGTGCGACTTGGAAGACACCCTCATCTGCCCAGAGTAGCCATCCTCCTGGCTCCAAGGAGGCGAAAAGATCACAGCTACCAGCCCTGGAGAGGCCAAGGTAGAACCGGCCACCTGCTGTGCTCAACAGGGCCCCTGAAAGGCCTGTGACCCCTGCCTCAGCGCCTCCCAGCAGCCAATCTGAAGAACCCTCCCTGCAGCCTACAGAACACTGGCACTCTCATTTGTATGAAGTGACCTTGTGCCGCCTGAGCACCTAAGTTTCAGAAACCAGTGTCTTTCTGGACTTAAAAAATAAATAAGTAAATATTGGGGGAAACTTCTTAAAATACCTACTACTTTTCAGAACCAAAAAAGGCGAAGTCCACTTGACCTGGACACTCTACTGTGCAGGGGAGGCTGAACTGTCTCCACCTAAGATGGAAGAGACTTCCGAGAGCCAGCAGAAGTGTGGACAGGTACACTGGGCAACTCCCCAGGGGAGACAGTTAGAACCCACGATTTGTTTATTATTTGTAAATTTAAATCTTCATTCTCTGAATTAAGAAAGGGTTTGAGAAATGTGTTATTTGCCTTTGAAATGAGGAAGATGTGTAAGAGAGGAGGTAAGAAAAAGGCAAGAGAGAGGTGAAAGGTAGACTGAGCGAGGCAGGGAGGGAGGGAGGCAGGAACCAGGAAGAGCGCGGGGCAGAAGGCAGGGGAGACACACAGAGCGGCTGCAGTGTAGACAACCAAACCCTTTATTGTCTAAGTCACATTAGACGCAACACTGTAAAAGTCCCGTTAGGAAACAAGGAAACAGCAGATTCATAGAGGTAGTAGGAAGTCTGTAACAGTCAGAAATGTGGAAATTATCGCAGAGGGAGCAAATCAAAACAGACTGGCTAAATAAATAAGAAAACACAAATCATATTAAATACTAGGGTTGAGCTGACATAAATGAATTAACAAACCGGTCCAATACTGATGGTCAGTGGGACAAAGAGGCCATACACCCAGGCCAGCACCCAGCTGGTCCCAGGGGGAGTGTGAGCTGGGGGGGGGGGGGGGGGGGGCGCTGCTCATGGCCTTGTGGCTACATGAAAACTGTATCTCTGTGCTTTGAGGAGCAGGTCATCCTGGGATTGGCTGTTCTCCTGGCTGCTCTTCAGACAGACCCTCAGCTACAGGGACCCCATGCACCCCTCTTTCCCTAGACCAGCTGGGAAGGAGGCCCCACTGGAAGACAGACCCTTCCAGCTTCAATGCCAAGTGCAGTTTCGGACACAGTAAAAACGCAGACGACACCTTTGTGTCCCTTTGTGTACAGAATTTTTTAATAACTAAAACACAGATGGAGATGGGGCCCAAACCACAGGCCCCTGCACATTCCTAGCTCTCACCTTTACTTTCAGCCAAGAAAACAGAAAGCCAGAGAATGCAGAAACGGTGGGGCGAACTATCAAAACGATCGAACACGAATCAACAGAACAGTACTCTGCTGCCTCAGGTGGAGAGAGGAATGTGTCTCTGCGACCTGCTCAAGGTAATGTCTCAGAATGATCAATATTCCCAAGCACTCGGACATAGCAAGCCGTTCTCATACATACCTGGTGTAGGCGTATCAGGAAAAAAAATAAGTAAAAAAAATAATTATATATACACATAGATATGTATATATGTATCTGCTAGCCAGTTAACATTGCATTGTCTGCAAGTGTCATAGCCACCTGAACGGTCAAGTAATTAAAACAGCAACAAGTAGAATCCAGAATCAAACATTAGCTAACAATAACAATAACAATAATAATAATAATATAATAATAATCCAACATCATTAGAACAGAGAAACCACACGCCAGGGTTCATGTATACATGTGTGTTTAAACAAGTCTTTGTATCAGAAGCCCATTTCCTACAAAAACTGCACTGATCCATTACTGTGTTAAGTAAACTGTCGCTCTCACCAGTATATTAAAGGTTAGGATAATTTCTGTACATGTAAAATTATTGCTTCTTTTTTTGAAAAATATATTTAGCATGCTCGTCTTAATCCATTTCCTGCCTTTACAAAATTTCACAATAAAAAAAAACTAGTAAAGCTTTTGCAAAAAATTTCACAGAACGTTTTCATTCAAGGCAGCAGTAACTTCTGATAATGCATAAAATCCTATGTGCAAACATCTGGAACTTGCAGAAGTATCGCCATCACACACAGTGTCACAGCAATGGGGAAGGGAAACGCTGCTACCTGCGGAATACAGTTCCGAGCGCACACGCTGCTGCGTGGGCTCAGAGCCTCTGCCAGGGCCTTCACCCCACCGCAGAAACGTGAACTCGCGTGACTAAGGAAGAGGTATATAAAGCCGTCCTCACCCTCAGGCCTGGTGCCCTCCCACCAACCTAGGAACAAAGCCACTAGGCCAATGGTGGTCACCAGACCCAAGAGGGAAAGACATCTATTTGCCGGGGTGCTGCAGGGGAGAGGCTGGGATGGGGAGGAGGGGAACAGAAGGTTCCAGAGCAGTAGCACCCTAATGATCTAGGGCCCCCAAACTGCTCAAGGATTCTTCTGCCATCACTAAAACAGGCCCAAATCGGGAGGATTCAGTGGCTTAATCTGTTAAGACGTGTAGTCTTCTTTTGTGAGCAGTTTGCAGAGTGTAGCCCTGTTACAAAAAGGTCCTGAGAATAAACAAAGACGCCTGCTCTTCTTAGTGTTCAACTAACTCTCTTTTCCAAAGCAGATTTCTATGTGTTCCCATCTCTGCCGTGTTTCCTGTGCCAGACGCAGCCCCAACGGTGAAAACCCAGAGCATGAGGGTGACATGAATGGCTCAGAGCGGGTCATGGCCAGACCTCGGAACTGTGAGGATCCGCCATCGCCCCGCCCTACCGAGCCTGAGCACCACCAAGCCTTACAGCTCCTGAATACACCCTCCATCTTACCTGCTACTAAATACCCACTGAGGCAGGGAGAGGCGGGAGAGCGGGCCCTCAGCGGCCTCCACTCCCCACGTCCTGACAGCATCACCTCTAAGCACTGGACACCTCCCACAGTGCTTAGGTCTCCACTCCATCCAAAACACACCAGTATCTTTTTTCCAGTGTCTCACGCTTGTCTTGAGTAATACAGATGCCTTGAGCTCCCACTGTGCCTGCCAATACCACTGCTTATCATGAGGAAACACAGGCCATGGTGGATGAGCACATACATGTGTGTGAAAGAGCTACACGGGATTCTAGGCATAGCATCTTCGCTGTCCCTAAATGTTACCAAGGGAGGCATCTCCCTTGGTCTGCTCTAGCGCAGCGGCTCCCGGGTCTAAGGTATCTGGTCAGGAGACCCTGGCTCTTCTTCCCCAAGGTGGCCATGGTCACCGCTGGGAGCCTTCCAATCGCCCGTGAGGCCACTGTCGACACCATCACGGGCTGAGCGCTGGAGGCGTGTCTCTAGGTCCCCTTTCGGAGAGGCCCCGCTGGCACAGTCCCTGGGGTAGTATGGTCTCTCCCCTGCAAAGGAAAGAAAACAGCAGGCAAGCTCAGTTGTCTTCCAGTCACAAGAGCATTTACGGTATCAGTTTTCTTAGCAAGACCCAGAAACACAGGTGCCCTTCACAGCAAAGTAGCAGAGGCGACAGAGACCTCTGGTTTTAGGGGCAGCCCACTTTACACCAGCAGGGACACTTTGCTGTCACCTTGCTGCCTTCCGTGGGGGCAGCTCTAGGAAATCAGTGTTGGAAAGCATCACCAGCTTCAGGCAGCAAGCAGCAGTGGTGGGCTTGGCTCCGAGCAGGGGGCTACAAATCAGCAAGGCAGGAGGAACGGGGTTTGAAAAGCACAAGTCTACGGTACGGAGACGATTCCCAGGTGAACGGCAGTGCTTACGGGTGAACGTGGAGCCACACAAGCAAAAAAGGAAAGCCCCTGGTTTCCACATCTGAAGACAGTGCTTCCCTCAGTGGAGAAGCAGAAGAGCTATGCTGTGAGTCCGATGAACAGAGACAGCTGGGAGCACAGACATGAGTCTGTACAGTACCCCCCAGTAAGTGGGAGCACTGGTGTTCGAACAATGTCATGTTCCAGTGGAGGACAAGATAACGTGCCAAGATAAATCTTTCTGTGGTGGTTTGAATAGGTATGACCCACACAGACTCATGGGTTTGCATGCCTGGCCACAGGGAGTGGCACTGTTGGGAGGTGTGGCCTTATTGGAGGAAGTGTGTCACTGTGGGGGTGGGCTGTGAGGACATCTATGCTCAAGCTATGCCAAGTGTGGCTCACAGTTGCTTCTGCTGCCTGTGGACCAAGATGTAGAACTCTCAGCTCCTTCTCTAGCACCACGTCCGTCTGTGCACGGCCATGAAGATAATGAACTAAACCTCTGAAATTGTAAGTCAGCCCCAATTAAATGTTTTCCTTTATAAGAGTTGCTGTAGTCACAGTGTCTCTTCACAGCAATAGAAACCCTAACAAAGACACCAACCAACCACTTGAAATCAACATGCATCCACAAACCACAGAGCTCATGGGAAACTCTAGTCTCTAGCTAAGTTTATGGGAACCCTAGAAACACATAGGAAATGAGCTTATTGCCATCATGAATTTAATGTTTCAAATCTTTAGCTAAGATTTTCAGAAAAATACTAAAAGCTGGTCTCGCACACAATGTCTACTGGTCAACACACAGTAGAAACCAGAAAGATATTAGAGAATGTCTGCGAGACAAGGCAAGTGCAGAGCTGTAGCCAGTGGCCGGTCTAAAGCCCTGGAAGTAACATCGATTAGAGATGTGACAACCCCCTCTTAGGGAGATGGTAAACTTCCTGCTGTGGACCAGGAGAGATGGCTGACATGGCTGCACGGCAGCCATCTCTGTGGACATCAAGCTGCAGCAGGGCTCACTGGGAACTAGTTCTGGGCAAGTTCACCAAGCAACAGGGGGCTCTGACTCCCACAAGAAAAGGAGCTGTGATTCTGGGTGTTTGGCCTTGAATGTCACTCATAAACACCTGTCTATACCAAACACACTGCCAGAGGTTCCAGGACAGGGGAAGCTGTGCAAGGCCGAGGTGTCATGAACAAGGCTGTGGTGTTGTGCAAATCTGAAGTCTGCATGGACTGCTGCCCTACAGCCCTGGTACACACCTACCTGTGGCTTCTATCTTTGGACAGACCCCATAAACTGCCCCTGGGACAGGGCAGAGAGAACAGGGATAACCCTCCCCCAATAAAGGGTGGAACACTGCACAGCTCAGAAAGCTTTCCAAGCATTTATCCCAGCTGTGCAAAGCCTGAAAATCTAGAATAAGGCACTTGCTATGATGAATCCAGAAATCGTTACAGGACTGGCATTTCCCCTTTATACTGGAAGAGATGAGTTCACATGCCTCACTTCTGAAGAGTCGTTTTAGATCACTGATTCATCAGGACCATCAATGATGGGACCATTAATACAGTATCCCTTGCAGGGATCTAAAGAAATAATGAGTTAAACAGGGAAAAGAGATCTACAGTAGTAATCTGAAAATGCACATATTGCTTCCTCTTCCAGGGAGGCCGCAGCCAGGACATAGGAGCTGGCTTTGGGGACACTGGATTTTGTTTCTCACAGCTGTGAACTGTGAGATGAGGTTGAGCCGAAATGAATACTAGCTATCATTGTTTCAGTGTTCTAGGCCTAGACACTGACTCTGGAACCAGGTGAGATCAATTTTCCCCTTCTTTATAAGACAAGGGACCAAACTGTACAGCAATGGGGGTCTGTCTTCAACATGCACACAAGTCAAAATGCCACAAGGGGCACACAAGAAAAGCCACAGAACAAGGCTCGTCGGTGCTAACCCACAACTGTGTACCGGACCTCGGGGACCCTGGCCTTTGCCCAGCCAGCAGTCAGTCAGCAGTGACAAGGTGAAGTGATTTTGGTTAAGTCTGCGGTTACACTTACATGTGGTGGAGTATTATACTTGGAGAAAACAGATGATGTTCGGAAGATGCTTGTTTGATTTTATGCATAAAAGCTTCAGCTTGCATTAGCTATCAGATCTGTGATGCCAAAAATCTACAAGTGCACTGGTGAGAATGGGCCAAAGATGCAGATTCACAGACCCCCAACACACCGTCTCTACTGCTCAACTACACAGGATGCAGATTCACAGACACCGCCCCCCAACACACCATCTCCACTGCTCAACTGCACAGGATGCAGGTTCACAGACACCGCCCCCCAACACACCATCTCTACTGCTCAACTGCACAGGATGCAGATTCACAGACACCGCCCCCCAACACACCATCTCCACTGCTCAACTGCACAGGATGAAAATGATGCAGGGTGGGTTGCCTTTTTTTTTTAACTTTTCTTGTTAGTTTGATTAATGGAATTATTTCTCCAGCTTAACTATTTTAAACTAACATTTAGAATAACAAAGAATAAACTATTAATCATAGTCTTTAAATTCTGACAATAAATCCAAACAAATCAAAACACTCTATTTCACATTACAGCAAAGCTCTATAAACTGGGGGGTGGGACGGGGGGGGGGGGGGGGGGGGGGGGTTGGGTTGGTTTCAAAAGTTCTTCTAACTTCTTTTTAAAGTATTGTACTACATTTATGTAGTCCCACCTGTGGGCATGCACACTATCGTGCATGTGTGGAGGTCAGAGGACAGTGTGCAGGAGACAGCTCCTTCCATGCTTCCTACATGGCTCAGGTCCTCATGAGGACTCAGGTCCTCAGGCAGCAAGCCACTTGCCCACTAAGCCATCTCACCAGCTACTAGTTTACTTTCTAATTGTTGAACAATAAAATAATGATTAAAAAAACCGGTTTCTCTGAAATATTAAGACAGTTTTTACCATGGATTAGTAACACCCATACTTCAGCATGTAATTTTCAAAAAGTGTTTTTTTTTTTTCCTAATGACAAATGCTGAGGATTACCAGGACCTAAACATGGACATGATACACCATCCTTAAATAAAAACTCTCCTTGGAAACTTGGTTTGGTATCCTGCCCACGCTTGTGATGGAGAATGTTCAACCAGGATGGACCCGAGTCCTGTGAGGGCCTGCCCTCCCACCAGGAGAAAGAAATGGCTCCTCAACTCAAGGCCAAGACCCTTCATGTTTGCTTCCTAAGTTTGTGTTTTTATTTTGGTTTTTAAATAACTGGGAGGTAACAAGCAGTTCAGACAACACGTCACGTGGCCAGAGCTACCGTCTGCAAACTCACGCCACAAACTAACGTGGAACTTCCAAGCCTCTTACTTCCTGATAGAGACGTGTGGACATCACAAAGGAGAGGTTGGGGACCTGGTTTTCTGCAGGTCCTGGGCTCTTGTGACTATACACCTGTGATCTGGGACATGTACATCACAGGACATGTACAGGAAAAGATTACCCTCAGACACAGCAGCAAATTAGCTCTCTCGCTCCTCTGAGTTCATGTATGGAAAGGGCCTGAGAGATGACAGTGTTAAGCCAATCACTTCAGAGATTTGCTAGGTCCCACACTGGTTCAGTCATGTCACCAGAAAGTGCAGCATATTTTGATTTTCTAAATTTGATTCAGGAAATTGAAGTGTTGATATGCAAAATAAGTGTGCATTAGTTCCTTTTTCAGTGGCGATGTCAAAATCCCAGAAGTGACTTAGTGAGGGAAGGGAACTTTCAGCTCAGGTCTCTCATCTCAGGGAAGTCCTGTGGTAGGAGTTTCAGGCAGCTGTTACATCGCATCCCCCATCAGGAAGAGAGAGGAGGGGAGAGGGAAAGGGAGGGAAGAGCTGGCCACAAGAAATGCCTGCGCTCAGCCTGCTTTACCCTTTTCTATTCAGTTCAGGATCCCAGGCCACGGAACAGCGCTAACCACAGTGCTGTCTCCCCCCACAGCCAGCCTCATCTAAATACTCCCCCCACCCCTCCCCAACCCCCCCCCCCCCCCGACCCAAAGGTTGGTCTCCCGGATGATTCCGGATCCTGGAAGTTGGCAGTATTAGCCCTGACAGTTGTTCTGTGGCTGTCAATGCAAAAACCTCAATGCACCAACTGGCAACAAGAACTGCTGGGAAACTCCGAGTTGACAACACTGCTCAAACCAGTGCTTCTCCCGGACCCCTCCTTTTATAAAGAAGGAGCGACTAGTCTCTCAAGCACAGCAAAATCCGAACACACACAAGCCCATCAACACACCTTGCAAAGGCTGGGTGAGTGAAGATCAGAAGCCCCAGGGCTGTTCCCTAGCATAAGCTACTACTGACCGTCCCCTGTGGGAATGGGCCTGTCCACACCAGAGAGACACAAGCAACGTGCTCTAGGTCTCTGCACACACTCACACTGCGTCAGGGTTTTCTACTCAAGACAGCTGTTCACTAGAGTATCAGGCAACAGTGGCTCCCTCACAGGGTGTGTGCTCCACGCCGGGTGTGGGGCAACTCCTGGGGACCACTGTGTCACCACTACACAGGATAGGAAATGCATCTCCCATCGAGGTTAGCGCCTTCTTCTCCAAACTGTACCTAACAACTACATCACTCACGTCTCAAAGAGTCGAGTTAGCTCACCCTGAGTAAACTGAACGCTGATACCTATTAAACATAAAGATTGCTGCCAAGATCTTTTTTTCTCCAAGTTGCCTGCTTGCTAGGCATTTTTACCAGTACTGATAAAAAGGCTTCTTAAACAACCTGAATTTACTCTGGAAATGGGTTCACCCTGCTCCCCTACCCAGGCCTAGGGATAGGACAGAACCCAGTCCAACTCACATCCCCGTCTTTCCTCGTCTACTACCTACATCCTTCCTCTCAAACGTCTCTCAGACCCCGCTCTCCTCCATGCCCATGCTGACCAGGCTACACAATCTCTCACGGGGATCATCGCCCTGGTTGTCCACAAGTCCAGCCTCCGAGCTGAACTCTGGACGTCACCCCTCTGCTTCGAGCTCTGTTTTCTTCTGGATGGCAATCTCCTGTGGTGACCAGATGCTGCCAACTCTCCAGACACACACCCACAGTTCTGCCTCCCATGTCACGAAGCCCTCTCCAGACAGCTGATTTCCACACTCTTCCTCGTGCTCTTCCTCCTGGAGTCTGTCCCCATGCCGAGCTCAAGTCCTCTGGCCCAGCGGGAGCTCCCACCATTCCCATTCCTCATCCAAACCACCCACCAGCCTTGACCAGAGATTCCATCTTCCCCAAGCCACGCAGGGCCTGGCACAGGGGAGCTGCCCAGACGTTCTGTCAATAAGTGAAAGGATTATAAAACTTAATTTTCAAATCTGCCTCAACTGGCTAATTTAGCATCTTTTACGTACATATATAAAACTCCATCAGCTTTTGACTATCACCTGGAATGATTTTAGCATGAATAAACAGTGTTTTATGAGCTAAAAAAAATCCAGAGCCCAGAGCCTCTACAGCCAAAAGGAAAATAACCCAACGTGAATATTAACTGGTTAATGTTAGGAAAGCGCCTTGATAGGCATAACAAGATACGTTCCTGGCATTAATGATGATGTAAACTAGTTCTAAGTTAACGTCTCCTAAATTCACCATTGTAATCATGACCAAACTACAAGGGTGGGGAAGAAGGAAGAACCCAGCTGATGCCCCAACCTATCATAGATGCTGTTTTCTGACAACACACTTCTTTTAGATTCTTATAGTTCCAAAATATATTAACAAAAAAATGGAATTTCCATAAAGATCCAGAACATTCTATGATGAATCAACAAAAGATACTTTTCAAGGTAAGGGAGGGCAAAAGGGCCGATGGAGCACATGACCTTAAATATGGAACTAAACCAACTAGCTACTGTAAAGAAGGGTGAGTCAAGCTGGGGCTAAACACTAAGGCCTGAGCTACAACTGCCCTTCCAGACAAATGAGAGTTGACCCGCTGAGGCTTCATGGCAAAGCAAATGTGCACCTCAGGGCTGGATCCACGCTAACAAGATGTCAGTACTGGATGGTCATGAGCGTGACAGAGGACAGTGAGTCTAACAGGACAGCATTAAGTTTAGCAACAGAGAAGACACATCAGCGTCTTTCTCTGTCAGAGCCACAGACGGCAATAATTACCATAAACACCTAATGTAAGTAAAAGTAACCCAAGAATAAGCCAGCCCAAAGTCTTAGTGACTTCCACCTTCTACTTCCTGTTTCCGTGTGACAAAAGCATGGGAACAAGCTGGGCAAGAATGACTCACAGTACGCAGGATCACCAGTACTAGGAGACTCGGGGGCTATTGGCAGATCTACCTCATGCATCCCTCTCCATCAGACACACTGAGCCACAGAGGGTCTTTGGTGGCCTTGGAGGTGGCCTGTGAGCAGGAGAGCCTGGGACTCATTCTAGCTGTGATGCCCAAATGTTAAGCCTCTGGGCACAACACGTCCTTCCTATCACTGCATCCCAGGCATTCCACACAAGGGCTCTTCGGTAGCAAGCAGCCTTTGGTTCTCTTACAGCTGATTCAGGAACAGGCCCTGTGCCGGGAAATCTTTCTATTCAGTATTCAGGAGAGGTTATATTTATGTTTTTAAAAATTGTCTCATCACCACAAAGGAACTGCTGTATACTTTTAAACCATAGGTTTTACTGAAATGAGCTAAAACAACCTGCACAAGTTCCTTGAGATCTCACTATTGTGGGACCACAGTGGAGGCCTTGATCCTGTCATCACAGGGCATGGGACACTTTAGGGCCAGGCACACAGACCTGAATCCAACCAGCCAGACAGGGCTTAGGCAAAGAGGAGAGTCTCTGCAGCTACGAAGTTTCCTCGAACAGTGGATAACCCCAGTGATATGAAGAGACGAAGACAGTGGGGGAGGGGGGCAGAGGGCGGGGAGCAGAAGGTGACTGATGCCACACGCTGTCAGCCCAGGATAACAGAAAAGCAACCCAGAGCACTTACACCCCTCAGACCCATACTATGAACCAAGCATGGCACAGAGCTTTGCCACATCCCCTGCACATCAAATGGCATGTGTGAGACAGTCACACTCCCACAGGAGAGGTGTTAGAGGGCAGGCACACAGGTGTGCCAATGCACAAGAGCCTTGTTTTACCCGGTGTTTCTACAGCTGGGAAACACCAGACCAACATCTTTGACAGGGATCTCTTACAGAGGAATTCGAAAGTAGTGCTCTTAAAGGAGACAAGATGTGATTTATCTGCAGGCTGACTCAGACCCAGACTAAGAACTTCTGATGTTTTCTTCACCACTGACCACTGCCAACTCCCTCCTCCTTAGCACCAGCTATCATGGGCAGAAGCTGGCAGCTATGTGGCCTCCTGCTCTCTGTTCACCCCCAGACAGTCCTGGCTGGGTGGGCTCCAATGACAGGGAATTATTCCACAGCGCACATTACACACAGGTGCCCTATGTCCCAAGTCTTTGCAGGCACACTGACACTCAGACATGCATCATAGGACATACTTGTTTGGGGGCATCTGTGGAGGCTGTGTGCACTTCAGAACCTCGTGGACCATCACACTCAAACACCACTGTGGGGAAAAGGGTCTGTTAGCAGGGGCTGGTGAGATGCGTGAGTGCAAATCAAAGTGGCCGCTAAGGGTGAAGCACTTTCACAGAGAGACACCAGCACCCAGCCTGCAGCTGGAAAACACCAACTCCCCATAATGCTTACAGTAAGGAACACTTACAGTGAGAAACCTCAGTAACGGATGCCCGGGGCCGCTACCCTTCCTAAGTCAGACTCCACACTGTGGAAAGCAATCCCGAGCAACATGAATTACCAGTGTGTGGGTAAAGGGTCCTGTTTTCTGCTCTGCTGACCACTCGGCCTGTGTCACTGAGCATCAGGCTGGCTTCTGGGTATGTGCATGTCACACTGCTAGACAGTGTACCCATCTCCCTAAGGCTCCTGCTCGGTTGTGACACACAGGTAGCCCAAGCAGGTCTCAGGTCAGATTTGTACAAGGGGCTGGAAGTGCTTCGGGTCACCACTGATGAGCCAAGGGGGCCTTGCACATCTCCACAGACCAGCTCTGCCCATCAGGATGGAAGTCATCAGGTTTGGGGCTGGAAGACTAATGGCCTGGCTGCCACTGATGGTGACACTGTGACTCATTAGCATCTCATTTCTGAAGGTCTACTCTAGTTAAAGGGAACATATGCAAATGGATCTTTCTCAAACTAAGCTACATGGCACACGGATGCTAAATAAATAACACCACGCCACGTACAGAACAGGCGAATAAGGTCAACTGAGAGGTGGATGGCACAGTGACAGCTCTGGAAACCTGAAACCCAAACACGCCCACCATGACAGTGAGTGACTAGCAGAAAAGGGTCTGTGCTGGGAAGTCAACCTCAACCAAGTCACCTGGAAGCAAGAATCTCATTGAGGAAATGCCTGGGGCAGACAGACCTGTGGGCATGTCTGTCAGGGAGGATCTTTATCACTGATACAGGAGGACCCAGTCTACCGTGGGCAGCACCATCCGTGGACAGCTGGCCTGGGGTTGTACAACAAAGCTAATGTATCTTGATCGATAACTGATACAGGAGGACCCAGTCTATCGTGGGCAGCACCATCCATGGACAGTTGGCCTGGGGTTGTACAACAAAGCTAATGAATCTTGATCGATAACTGATACAGGAGGACCCAGTCTACTGTGGGCAGCACCATCCGTGGACAGTTGGTCTGAGGTTGTCTAAGAAAACTAGCTAAGCATGAGTCTGTGAGTTAGTGAGCCAGAAAGCATGCCAGCAAGGAGCAGCCCTTCATGATTCCTGCCTTGAGCTCCTGCCCTGACTTCCCTCAGTGATAGATCATGACCTGGAAGTATACTCCAAATAAACCCTTTCCTCTCCAAGTTGATTTTGGTTATGGCATTTGTCATGACACCAGAACGTAACTAGAACCGCCCCCACCCCCGTACACAAGCATGCATACACTCGGCACTGGCCAGTCACACGGCACAGGGCTGTGATACCTGTGTGTGCCCGAAGGTGGGCCCTGAGTTGGCTGGGCTGGTGGAAACTCTTGCCGCACTCCACACAGACAAAGTCTCCCTGGCGGGCCTGTGTCCGCGGTGTCCCTGTTAGTGACGCGGCATAGCATGGAGATGAAGAGAAAAGAGGGAAGGGGAGGGAGAGAGGAAGACATCGTTAGTCTGTCTGACATACCGATGTGAGGAGCCGCCGCTGGGCCCTGGTGACAGCTGCCAGCCTTGGCTGGGCTGACAGGCT